GACCCGGAGCAAGCAGAGGTCAGAGTGCATGCTGGCCGTCAGGCAAAGAGCAGGTCAGCAGATGGAACAAGAAAACACAGACGAGGAGGTGGTCAGTGTCTGCACATCCCGCTTATGGTCTGGTCATCTCCAGAAGGATGGTTCTGATGCTGACACTGAGGACAATGTGGCATAAAACAAAAAACAAAACGAGAAGACAGGCAAAGGCTTTACTCACTGAACTGAGGGCTCAAAGAGAGAAGGGCAGGTCTCTCAAGCAGGCAGCAATTGTCTTTGAGAGAGCAAGGCAAGAAGCCTGGCCTCAGAGATTCATGGAGGCTACAGGGAAGCTCTGGGCAGAGGTTGGGTGGTCTGAGTCTCCTGCCAGCTCCAAAGAAGGGAGCCTCCGGCTTCTGATCACCTCACCTTAGTGTGGTGCACAAAGAGAAGAAGAAATGGAGAGGGGCTGATCCTGCGGTGTTGGCAAAAGCCAGGTCTGGGAAAGGCGAGGATGTGAACGACCTTGACCCTCGGCTCTGAGGCCAACAGTTATCAAAAGTTCCAGTAGAGTGGGTTTTCTGGGTACAGCAGGATAGCCGCAAGATGGTTCTAACTGTATAACATTTTAGTGCACAAAGAAGCCTCTTGATAACTCACAAGCCTGAACAATTCACAAAGCTTCTGCAGTTTCACTTCCTGGTTATGAGACCCTACATGATAAACATGCTGAGCCAGTTCCCGGTCACTCTTCCCACATTAAAAAATTCACACAGGACAGAACCCCTATAGATGTGAGGACTGTGCCAAAGCTTTTATTTATAAGCCAGAGCTTGTGAAACACCAGAGAACACACAAGAGAGAACCCTATAAATGTAGGATATGTGAGAAGGCCTTTCCCCAGAGATCAAACATCACTGATCAAAAGAAAATTCATAGCTGGGTGCAGTGGTATACGCCTGTAATCCCAGGGACTCGGGGGCTGAGGCAGGAGGATTGAGAGTTCAAAGCCAGCCTTGGCAATGGCAGGGCACTAGGCAGACTCAATGAGACCCTGTCTCTAGATAAAATACAAAAAAAAGGCTGGGGATGTGGCCCAGTGGTTGTGTCCCTGAGTTCAACTCCCAGTAAAAAAAAAAAAAAAAAAGAAAGAAAATTCATGCCAGAGAGGGCTTATGAGTTTCAGCTGTACGGCAATAAATTCATCCAGAAGAAAAATCCCATTTCATGAATGACAACAAAATCCATATGGGAACTATAGTGACGTGGCCACATCAATGTTCACAGCAGCTCAATTCATAACAGCTAAGCTATGGAACCAACTTAGGCACCCTTCAACAGATGAATAGATAAAGAAAATGTGGTATATATACATAATGGAATATTACTCAGCCATAAAGAAGAATGAAATGATAGTATTTGCTGGTAAAAGGATGCAACTAGAGACTACCATGGTAGGTGAAATAAGCCAATCCCAAAAAACCAAAGGCCAAATATTCTCTTTGATATGCAGATGCTAACACACAATAAGGGGAGACAGTAGGGATGAATAGAAGTTCGCCAGATTACCCAAGGAATGAAGGGAAGGAAGGGTAGGGGAATGGGGATAAGAAAGACAGTAGAATGAACCAGATATAACTTTCCTGTGTTCATGTAAGGGGCTTCACTAAGTTGCTGAGGCTGGCTTTGAACTGAGATCCTCCTGCCTCAGCGTTCCGAACTGCTGGGATTAGAGATATGTGCCATCGTACCTACCTCTAATCCACAGCATGTACAACCACAAGAATGGGAAGTTATACTTTGTGTATGTCAAGATACATTCTACTGTCATGTGTAACTAAAAATAACAATTTTTTAAAAATCTATATGGGAAAAACTTCTAAATGATACTAGTGATAGATAGGAGGAAGCTTTCTTTCAGAAGTCAAGACTTCATATCCATCAGAAAATTCACAGTGGAGAGAAAGCTTGTCCATGTAGAAAATCCCTCAGCTAGAAGCTGGGCCTTGGTTTACATTTAAAAATTTGATACTGGACAAAAACCTTATGAATGAATGTTCTGAATGTGGGAAAGTCTTCACTGATACGTCTTATTTTGTGAGACACCAGAAAAGAATTCACCACAGATAGGAACCCCTGCACTTTAAACATAAGGGAAGGCCTTCACTTATAGGGCCGCCTAAAGCCACTACACAGAAATTTGCACCAAAATGGACTACAATGTGAAGGCTATTGCTGAGGTCCCGAAGACTTGTCTATTTCCTTTGAAGATTTATTTGACTTATTTATTCAGTGAGTAATTACTTTGTTGTTATTGGGGTTTTTTTTATTTAGTTCGGTTTGGTGCTGGGGATTGATCTCAGGAGCAACTGAGCTGCAACTCCAGCTTTTTTTATTTTTTATTTTGAGACAAGTCTTGCTACATTGCTGAGGCTGGCCTCAAACTTGACATCCTCCTGCCTCAGCCTCCTCAGTAGCTGGGATTATAGGCAAGTACCACCACACCCTGTCACTCAGCACTATATTTATTAAGTGCCTTTTGGCTAACAAGGACTTTTCTAAACACTGAAGATAGAGCAATAAACAGAACATGACAAAAATAAAAAATGGTTACCCTTCATCTCCCTACTGGGGAAACAAAGAGGCAGACCCTGAGCAGGATTAACTTACTACATCAGAAACACTTAACCAAGGTAGGAAACCATCCCTGATGAATTTTGCCAAAGACAGAAAGAAAACCAGTGTGAGAGGTGAAATTTTCTGGGGGTCCAACCTTAGCAGATCCTAAAAATAGCTGAGTTTCACCTACAGAATCCTACCAGGTTCTCAGTGTAACAATCAAAGAAAAAAAAAAACCAGCTGATTCTGATACCAGAAGGGAAAAAGGCATTGAAAATTTTAATTTTTTTCATAAGTTCTTTCTTAGGAAGAAAAAAAAAATTTCCCCAAACCCTAATCAACTGAGAAATTTCTAGAACCAAAATTTCAAAGAAAGTGAAGAACCCCATTTCAACCCCCTCTAATCTTCCTGCCTCAACACCAGGAAAGTAGGAGAATCCGATTTGTCACAGTGATATTCACACCGCCACCTTCCAATACAATGATGAAAAAAAATCACAAAGAATGTGGACAAGCAGGAACAGATAGCTCAAAAATGGGGGGAAAATGAATGGAGAGAAACCATTTCTGAGGACCTTCAGGCACTGAACTACCAGACAGACTTTCAGATTGAGGTTTGCTCAAAGGAGCAGAGGGGACTGCAGCGAGGGACTAAAGGACACCAGAAGGAGGACGTGCAAATACTGCACCAACAGAGTTATAAATCATCAAGGACCACACAGCCATCAAAGCACAGCGTAAATGAATCATCCCTAGATGTTCAGTTATGGATCTGAGCAAACTGAGCAGAGTGTCATGAAGATAAGATGGTGGAAACTACACAACCTGAAAAAAGGAAAGAAAACAGGACCAAGTTGAGAGACTGTCACCAGGAGACCTCTGTCATATGAATTGTTGAAAGAAGTTCTCTGGAAAGAAGCAAAATGGTAGTAACTCTGATGACGCAAAGAAAAGTTTGTTAGTGCTCTGGAGCTGGGGCCTTCTGAGAAACTGGGCAACGAAGCCTCCACCTTCAAACCCTGATTCTTGCGACCAAGTCAGAAAGATTTCAAACCTGTCACTCAGAGTAACAGGAATGAGTTTACTGAAGGGA